CTTATCTGCGCCAATGTAGTGGCCAACTGTAAGCTATCCATAGCAGGCGAAGTTGCTATCGAGCCTCCCATATAGTGAGTATCTTATAACTTAAAGCAGATTCGTCGCACTCCATCTTTGACTAATGGCAGACACTACTTACAACGAACTTTCTATCTAGAACCATCTCAAGTCACTCAACGCTCCATCGCAACATGTCACTCTGGACAAACTACCAATCGCTTCCCACCACGCAGTGGGCCCATGTATTCAGAACCCGGGGTGACAGTATGAACATCAACATTTGCTAGCAGAGACACGCTAAAAAGTATAGCTATCGAACTCAATGAAATACCCGTTGGGAACCCAGGCCCCGATGAAGTGCTGGTCCAAATGGAATACTCCGGAGTCTGCCACACAGACCTTCATGCATGGAAAGGTTTGACTGCCTTGATCTCGGCTCTAGATACCGTCGCTCATCAGCTTAGGGGACTTTCCTGCTACCCCAAAAAGCAATCTCGTCGGTATGTCGCACCTTGCCCAATGTATAGAACTGGTTCCAACCATGACTAGGCGGACACGAGGGTGTTGGATTGGTTGCCGCCGTCGGCTCGCAGGTAAACGGCCTTCGCATTGGAGACACCGTCGGAATACAGGTATGTTCTCTTCAAACGCCTTAGCCGAGAACCAAGAGTAATGTCATGCTAGTGGATTAACAGAACTTGCGGCGTGTGCGAGTTTTGCTCTACGGGGAGACAACCGCTCTGCCCCAAGCTTCAGTTGTCGGGGTATATGGTCGATGGGACCTTCCAGCAGTATTGTATTTGCAAGGCTGACAATGCAGTGCGCATTCCGTCCGGCATTTCTCTAGAGGCCGCTGCCCCGGTATGTTTACGACTGTCCACTTCGAAATGACGGTCTAACTGAGTGCACCGTCTAGGTTCTTTGTGCCGGAATTACGGTATACAAGGCTCTCAAAGAAAGTGAAGTCCGACAGGGAGAGATAATTGGTAAGTATGACATTGCTCTCACGGACAAAATGTTCACCACTGATTTTTCAACTAGCAATTGTTGGCGCCGGCGGAGGATTGGGATCCTTGGCTTGTCAATATGCCAAAGCATGCGGACACAAGGTCCTTGCCTTATCTTCTGGGGCCGCTAAGAGGCAAATGTGTTTATACGACCTTGGAGCGGATTACTTCGTTGACTACAAGTCGCCGAACGTTGCAGAGGAGGTGAAGCGCGTCACAGGGGGTGGACCGCATGCTGCGATCATAGTCTCATCTGTTGAAGAGCCGTTCCACCAGGCTACACAGGTGATTTGAACGTCTTTTTAATACTCCGAAGAGAGGCTGATATATTCTCAAGTACATTCGCCCCGGCGGAACAATCGTCGCTGTTGGCCTCCCACCTGGAAAGATTTCCGCCGACCTTTTCCATTTGATTACCCAGAGAATCAACATCAAAGGTTCCTACGTGGGGAACAGAGATGAAGCGGAGGAAGCACTTGCTATCATCATCAAGGCCGGCATTAGTGTTCAATACGAAGTGGTGGATTTCTCCGAACTTCCAAACATCTACGATCAGATGGAAAAGGGTATGCTCAACTGTAAATACACTACGTCCGGTACTGACGTCTCCAGGAACGATGAAAGGACGAGCCGTGCTGAAGATTGGAAAGACGCTCACAAGGGGCCCTGAGCGCCAGTCGAGTCTCTGCAGAGATGTACATTTCTCGCCCAAGCAGACAAATGGCATAAATGGTATGAATGGATTTACAGCCAAGAGTGCCATATCAGGGGCTCTTGAACGAGCCGTTGAGCGGGCCGGAAGAGATTTCCGGTCTGATACTGTAACAGTTCCCACTGAGGCCGTGATGGAGGTGTGTTTCAACTCCGGAGAGTTTTGACTATTGCTGATACTCAGTTCTTAAGGCCATTGTAAATGCCTCAACTTTTGGGGATGACATCTATGATGAGGAAGGAGACGCAACAGTGAATGATTTCCAGGACAAGATCAAGGCACTAACAGGCAAGGAGGCAGCGCTCTTTGTTGTATCCGGAACCCAAGGCAACCAAATCTGTCTGCGCACTCATCTGCACCAGCCGCCTCATACGATTCTTGTTGACTACCGTGCGCACGTCCAAACCTGGGAAACTGGTGCAATTCCTGTTTTGTCCCAGGCCACAGTGACGAGCGTTGAACCGAAGAACAGTGTTCATTTGACACTGGATGATGTGAAGGATCGGATTATAGAAGAAGGAAATTGTAAGAAAGCTCTCCCAAGGCAACTGAACCTTGCTGATACTGTCGGAGTCCACTTCCCCCCTACCCGAGTTGTCTCCCTCGAAAACACCTTGAGTGGCTCGATCCTCCCATTGAAACATGCCAGAGAAATTTCGAACTACGTCCGCAGGGTTCGTGTGCCCCCGGGTCGGGCCCCCATCGCCATGCATCTTGATGGAGCCCGGTTGCTGGAAGGTATAACTGCAGAGGGAGTCTCCGCCCGCGAATACCTTGACTGCTTTGACAGTGCCAGCATCTGCATTTCTAAGGGTTGTGGTGCTCCAATGGGCAGTGTTATCGTTGGTACTCGAGACTTCATTGACCGCGCGAAGTGGTTCCGGAAGATGTTTGGAGGCGCAACTCGACAGGTAAATTCCAGTACAGTCCAAAACATCTAAGGAATAGATACTGATGGGTTTAGACCGGAATGATGGCCGCTGCTGCCACCGCGGCGATGGAGCACACTCTGCCCCTACTTCCGAAAGTACATGCGCTCACCCGGCGCGTGGCCGACTATCTCTATCGGATCGGGTACGAGTTCCTCATGCCAGTGGACACTAACATGATAGTTCTCGATCTGAAGAAAACTGGCATTACTGGAGATGATATTGTGTTCTACTGCAAGCAGCAGGGGTTGTTGGTATTCCACAACGGGCGACTGGCCTTCCATCACCAGATATCGGAGGATGGGGTTGCTCGGCTTCAGAGGGCTTTGTTGGAATTGATTACGGATAAGAAGAGATTCTAAACTTGACGAGAGAGTGAGGGAAGGTAGTAGATACTAGCATGCCAACTTCTGGAACTTCGATGTTGTTAGATTTCCCATAGACAGACTGCAAGGCCGTCTCAGAGACTATCTGGGTGTTGATTACCTATTTCAAATCCCTGATCCCTCCATGCTATCAACACATCCAGATACTAGTGATCCAGATCAATCACTCCCAAACATTCATCTCCTCAATCCCCCTCGCTGCCCTCTCCTTCCAATCCGCCCTCCACCTCGTCAACGCGGGCCTCCCATGAACCACATCCCCGCACGACCACAACATCCTTCTCTTATCCAACTCTTCAGAGACCTCATTATCGGGACAAACAATATAAAACCTCCCGTCTGCCATCCCCTTACTCAAAAACTCCACCACCTGCTCAGGAAACCACGCCCCATCCGGCTTCTCCGTAAAATGCCTCCTCACCATTCCGGTATACGTAAACCCCGGAACCAGCAAATGCACACCGACATTGGGATGTTTCTCATACAAACTATAACTCAACTGCTCGGCAATACTCTTCACCGCGGCCTTGGAGGCATTATACGCCGGGTTGCCCGGCGGGTTGGTAATACCCTGTTTGGACCCCGTCAGGATGATAGCTCGGGGGGATGTAGTGTCACGAGTCATGTCGTCGAGGAATGTCGCTATGCCGTTCGTATAGCCTAGTGTGTTTACTGCGATGGTTCGTTGGAAGTAGGATGGGTCTGTCCAGATGGTTTTGCCTTCTGTGGGTTGGACCATGGTGCCGGCGTTGAGGAAGAGGAGGTCGATCCCATTAGGGTGGGCGGGGGCGATGGAGGCGTGGAGGGATTGCCAGTCTGTGGGGTTGGAGACGTCGATGTGGTGGGCGGATGTTGTGGTCTTAAAGGGGACGATGGTGGAGGGCAGAGTTAATGCTACAAATTTGAGGGCTTCTTGGTCGTTGTCAATGAGGATGAGGTTCATGCCGTGTATGCGGCAGAACCGGGCTGTGGCTTGGCCGATGCCTGAGGCGGCGCCGGTGATGAGGGCTGTTGCGCCGGGGCGGAAGACGGGGTGGAGGGTGGAGGACATGGTGATTTGCAGTGGGCCTGTTTTTTCCTTGTTTTGTTTAGGTGATGGTGGATTTGGGTGTGGTTGGTGTGAAGTTGGAGGGAGGGAGAGGATGAGGGGGTGAAAGTGAGGGGTGGATGTTGGCGTAGATTGCGGAGACGGTGGTTCGGGCTTCCGAGAGGGGTTGCCGAAGCCGATGGATGGAAAGCTAGAGTATGAAGTACTCACTGTGCAGATGTGATATATGCAGCGGCGTAACGGTGGTGTGGGGACTGGGCAGAGGGGTTACCCGAGTACTTTGTACTAGTTAGCTTTATCATCGGATGACAGTTATACTCCATAGGTATCAGTAGCGGCCAGTATGAAGCCAGAAAAAGATGCTCTAAATGAAGATCCCTGAGAAGTTGCAAGTTGCATGTTATAGTTGGGACTGAAAGAGTACAAGAAGACAGCTAGCATGTGACTATAACTTCAACTCTCCGTTGATGGGCAATTCCATTGGAGAATTGTGAGTAGCTAGTCAACATGGTGTTTACTGGATGAAATGTGGAAGCTATGAGAGAGAACATCGAACTGAGGAATGGCATTAATGGGTATGGTTCTATCACATATGGTAGATGTCCGACATATTATATTTCCTAGTGCTTATTCAAGTGGCTGATGTGTCCACACCAGGAAGAATATCTTGAAATCAGGGCTCGGCTCCTCATTATCCACGGGCGCGTATCCGCGGACCTTCCGCTCCTCGCCCGGAGGTAGAAACAATGCCGACCGGACATAACCCCTGTGTCAAAAAGCCACGTCATACTTCTATCCCCTGGCAATAGCAGTTATAATATAAGTTCAGATATTAATTGACGCAGTAGCTGGTTAGAATAACTATAACACGCTAGAGAATTAGTCAGGACCACCCGCGGACGGAGTGTAAACATGCTGAAGCCATCAACATCTCCGCATTCGGACAGCCGGCTGTGCTGCTTGTGATACATCAACAGACGGAACGTTTGTCTGACCAACAACAAATAGTGGCTACTCTGTACATATAGTTTGGCAGCAAAATGGCATGACCATCAGATACAGCATGATTCATAACATCTCACTCGGGCGCCTGCATGAGTCGACCCACGTCGAACCAGCCAACTACCCGTCTCACCCTTCACCACCGACCCTCCATAGCCCTGTCATATGCGGGTCTTGCGAAATAAAGCCCTCACGATCCACCCCAAATTCGGACCACAATCAAGTATCCACTAACATTGGCAGCAAGTCGTGCCGTCACGCTCCCGCGCTCCGAATTTCCGTTGACGGGGGTCCCCGCCCTCCAACCAGAACAACTTATTTAACCCGCGACATGCAGCCCATGACATGACAATCACACATCCCGGAAAGAAAGAACAACTACCTAGCTCACCCTCATCAAAAAAACAGAATGAAAGTCCTCATTTGCGGCGGCGGCTGCGCCGGCCCCGCCCTCGCCTTCTGGCTCTCCCGAACCAACCACCAAATCGTGGTAGTAGAACGCTTCCCCCAGCTGCGCGACAAAGGAGCGCAGATCGATCTCCGCGAGCAAGGTATCGAAGTAGTCCGACGGATGGGTCTGCTCGACACTATCCGCCAGCACTGCGTTCACGAAGACGGCTTCACCCTCGTCGACAGCAACGACAAGGTCACAGCTACAATTCGACCAAACACATCTGGACATGGAGCGCAATCTTTATCATCCGAGTTTGAGATCATGCGTGGCGATCTCGTGCGTATATTATACGACGCTACCAAGAATAACGTGGAGTACCGATTCAACACGATCGTGGAGCGCTTCGAGCAAGATGACGTGAAAGTAACGGCCTACTTCTCGGATGGGACGTCCGAGACGTTCGATCTTCTGGTCGGTGCAGACGGACAGGGCTCGCGAATCAGACGGGGGATTCTACCACCAGATGCACCTGATCCGTATCTCCATCTCGGTATCCACGCAGGGTACTGGTTCGTTCCGCGAGAGAAAGGCGATACCAATACCTTGACGGCGTATGTATCTCCCGGTGGACGGGCGATATTCCGCCGGAGTCACAGTCCCACGACATCGCAGGTGTATTTCATGCTGAAAGACGACGACCCGTCGCTTGCGTCTATTCACCGTGCGTCAGTGGACGCGCAGAAGGAGTTCTGGATACAGCGCTACCGCGGGGCGGGGTGGCAGACGGAGCGGTTTATCGAGGGGATGAGGACGACGGATAATTTCTACTCGCAGGAGATTGTGCAAGTGAAGACAGACAGGTGGTATAAGGGACGGGTGGTGTTGTTGGGGGATGCGGCTGCGTGTCCGGCTGTGGTGACGGGAATGGGGACGACGGGGTGTCTCGTCGGGGCGTATGTGTTGGCTGGGGAAATTAACAGACATGCTGGGGATGTGGGAGCGGCGTTGAAGAGCTATGATGCTACGTTGAGGCCGTTTGTGAAGGAGATTCAGAAGTTGAATACGTCGATGGTGAGGTTGTTTTTCCCGACTTCGTGGTGGGGGATCTGGTTGCTGCATTGGTTTGCGGCTGTGATGTGTTTCTTGAGGATTCCGGAGTTGTTGGATAGGATGGGGAATGAGGAGGTGGGTGGGTGGAAGTTGCCTGAGTATGAGGAGTTGAGTGCCGAAAACTAATTTAGTATTTATCGAGACAGTAGAGCTGTAATAATATCTCGTCTTATATAAGACTGCAACCAAAATCGGGCCGTAATTTGAAAGTGTAGGGATTCGTTGTAGAATACTCAGTGGGAGCTTTCCACAAGACCTATTCTATCATCATTACCAGAATTTTCAACAGGAGACCGTACAATACTACCGGGGATTGTATAATGAATTTATAAGCATTGGCATCTCTCTGGATGATTTGGGATTCGGTTAGTGGCGCAGGCGACAAAGCATCACATAACAGGAAGAGGTGACTCTTTACCCCTTGAGTGTATAAGGTAAGATTTAAGTGACTGAAAAGTGAGAGGACCATCCTGTACATTTGATTTACCAAGATCGAATAGAATAGGTAGAATCCGAATCTGTCTCACCAAAAGATATCGCTCAATTAACTTGAACTCAAAGTTTTAAGTATCGCCGAGGAGTGTCCCACCATTCCCTCGGTTTCTCTTCAATATATTATCTGCACACACCCTGCTAAGTGTTGATAATTTGTTGTTTAGTATGGTGATAGTTGAAGTTCTGTGCAATATTCTTTTTCATAGTATCATTGAGTGATTAAGTGTATGTATATCCATATCCATATCCATAGCCCATCCCCAACTCCGCCCATCATTAATACCATATCCATACTCCATCATTAATTAGTATAATGCATTACTCCCTCCTCCCCCAATCAAACCTCCCCGTCCCCTCCGGCTCCTTCCCTGCCGGCTCCGTCTCAATCACCGTCTCCTGAGTCACCGTAATATCACGCATCTTGCCCTTCTTGTTCGTGCCCACCAGGCCCTCCTCATCACTTCCATACCCGGCTGTAATGGTCCCTTCATGCACCGACAGCCTCGTGCGAGACTTCTTCGTAGCCGTTTGTGTATTCCCTTCCAGACTAGCCAGCGGATACGACTCGCCCCGTCTCCGACCATAGCTGCCCGTCCCTCCACGGGCTGAACTGAACAGCACGCTAAGTCCGATCTTGCTTGCTCCCTTGCGAAGCAGAGGTTGTATGATGGGGAGATTGGACACGACGATGGAGACGAATGTCTCGCGACATGCCCATTGACTTCCTGCGACGGCGCCGTCGGGGCCGGCCTGCGGTCGTTAGTTATCTGTCCTATGGGTAATGGGGACACTAGTGGGCGATGCGAATCATACCGTTAAGATAGTCACGGCGCGGATAATGCCTGCCATAATGATAAAGGCCGCGCTGCTGAACAGTGCCATGAGTGTGAGCTTCTGACGGATGCTGATCTTGACGGCCCAAAGGAGCGGAAGTGGGATAGACATGAGGTAGAGATCGGTTACGACGTTCGGGATGACAACGATGAGGACGCTTAGGGTCGATTTGGTCGGTTGACAGATGTCTAAGGTAGGACGCCTGTTAATGGAATGATCTCAAAGGCTATAGTCGCAGCAGAAAGAGGGTAAGAGACATACTGCCCGGGTTGGGATTGATTTGCCAGTTCTTGTGCATGGGTTGACAGCCCAGCACGATGGTCAGACCCACGACGAGATAGGTCACACCGAGGAGGATGTATGCGAAGCGGACTCGTGCGGGGAGATGGTTCAACCCAGATCTAGTTGGTCAGTTAGTTTCGTCGACATGAAATCAGAGCAGATGCCATACGTGAGGCGGGAGTAGTAAATGGCGACGCAGAACTTGATCAACCACAGTATCATGGCGTACAACGACCATCCGATGATCTGGATCTTAGATCCCCATTGCCGATCGTAGTACTCTTTTGAGGACGGGTCTACGGCCGCTCGTTGCTCGTCGGTCATGTAGCTGTTAGTGAGACCGTTGAATTTGCTGCGGACAAGATGCGCTGCGACAGTTTCGCCGATAAAGACGGCCTGCATCGGTCAGACAGAACGGTCAGAATGTCGGTGTAGAAAAACATACACCTGCCAATGGCATCAGATAGTCATCGACGGCAAAGTTCAGGGGGCCGCCGACTTGCGACCAGCGGACATAGATTCGTACGATGATGAAGAGCAGCCCCAACGACAGGAGGGTGAACGCCTCCGTGTCCCCGTTAGCCATGGTGAACTGCCAGACTGGATGTACTCAGATTGAGTACCGAGGAGGTGACGCCAGTGCGAAATTTGTGCGCATATTGTCTTTATAACCCATTTCGGGTCGATTCTTCCGCAGAACAGAAAGGGGCACACGAGGATGCAAATCATTCATATTCAGGAATGCCAAGGGCATCCTTCTAAAAGAGATTTCCTGACCGACACCCAAGGCAATTTTAGAGCGAAATGCTAACTTTAAGTGACAGACTTTTATTGGCCGTGTGTTGGACATAGGGGTGAAGGTTAGTTCTACCGCGTGCGCTAGAGCCACGATCCGGGGAACGAGACAGCGGCAGCGGCCAAGGCGAAGCGGAAGTCAGTCCGGTGAACTCTATCAGTGCCAACGGCATGCTGCTATGAGCACCGGAGTGGAGTATATTTCGTATCTCGGCATCGGGGCAGGCGTTCCAGACACGCTGATCGCGACCCACGCGGCACCGGATTGACGATTTTTTGCCGAAAGAGGTAGCGAGGAGCGACGCACCAAGCCATTGTGGACGATGGTTTTGACGTTGACGTACGAGTTCTCCTGTGATGAAAATCCTCTACGAGGTGAGGAAGCTTATCTTGTCGTCTGGTGTCGACGCTGCGTACGTATGCTCTTTTCGGAAAATGCTGAATACATCGCGAGTTGCGCTTCAAAGAACTCGAACCCTAAATGTCAATAGCTCGGGATGAGACCGAGACAGCCGCCATGATAAAAACAGAAGCCATCCCGCTCTCAAGTTTGGGTCGGTCGGGAAGCGCCCCTGATCCATCAATGGTCAGAGCTCAAAAACAAGCGGATCCCAGTGGGTCTGAAGCTGCTGAAATTGAGGCAGATGATTTTCGTGAGTCGGATCACGACAGGATACTGGGAGCAGAGATGGTGGCTGTTGAGTGATCTGCAACTTAAATTAGTCAATGCCCATCGGACATTGAACTTCGACTTCATAATGCAGCTGCAAAACACGGAGTATGTTCTTCAACATAGTGAGGTGAAGATTACCAGTGACGATCTTAGGTCTTTTCGGTTCCTCCACGATCGTTTCGTTCGATGAGGGTGCCACAATATCACCCACACGATCGAATTCTCAACCATGGTTAAAGACTTGGCGGTACCGTAGGTGTGGATAACCACTGTGCTCCGTACACAATAGCGATCTTTTCCAAAGGCGGAGGAGCTTGAAAGGGCAAATTAAGCGTAGCAGCACACAAGAACGCATGGTCAGTGGATTGCATTCTAAACTAATGACTACGGACAAAGAAGATAGAGGTGTTACCGTCCAGTTGAGCGCTATTTGGCAGATAGTTTGAGGGAACAAAGAAGACGGAAACGAACGGAGATCGCTGTACACTTTGAACGACGGTGAATGAAAACATGATCTACAGCTGCAAGGATTTAGCGAGCCAAGCGCTCGGGTCTGATGATGCTAGGAATAAAGAAAAGTAGAGGGGAAGACGGACAGCTGCATTGATCGATGTAGAGGGGCAGGGGTCTCTTCATTTAGGCGAAGTAAATACCATGGCAGAGGACCACAGGATGACTTGAAAACCTGACATTTACTGCCAATGCATAGTAAACTGACTCGGTACTAACGACAAACTAATCCGTACAAAGGCAAAGCAACCCAGAGACCCGGTACATCATGAATCTGGCCAAGACACACCCAATTTCCGATACCACGGTCTACCCACTTCCAAGCGTGCACAATGACCAATCCCATACATCTAAATAGCCGCATGCCCATGCGTCTCAAATGGTAGCCCAAAGCAGACAAACCCAACAGCAACCCATAATGCAGCACTTGCATATATGGGCGCCGGCGTGAACCCTGTCTGCGAAGCAATCAGACTAGCACAGAGCCCACCAAACCTTAATAATGAAGCAGCAGTGCCGGTACCTGTTCCTCGATGTGGAGCGGGAAAGGATTCCGGCGTGAAGGCGTACATGATTGCGTATTCTGTAGTATTATCAGTATGTGAAAACTTGTAGAGATGAGGGACTGGGGTACACGTACCGAAATTTCCCAAAATGCCTGTTATACAAGCGAACGCTAGACTCGACGTTGGATTGCTGACGCCCACATATGCGAAGAGAAAGACGCCCGTGATGATGGACGAAATACCCATCATCCAACGCCGGCCGAAGAAGGTGGTTACGAAATAAGCTGCAGAGAGCGGCCCAACTATGCCGACAGCAGACTCGATGCAGTAGTTTCTGTAAGTAGTGTACAGGGAGTCGTCCGATGAGAATTTTGTGGCGAGGTAGGAGGGGAGAAAGTTGAAGTAGAGGGGATAGGCGATGCCTTCATACGTAGTTAATACACATTTTCTGGTGAGTATTGAGGGGGATGCGGTAGTTACCAATTGTCAACCAAATAAGCCAGATGATACCAGTATGGATACCAAGTTTCCTCGTGGCAAAGAGGGCCTGGTAGTGTGTTGACCGAAAGTCTTTCATATTCTCCTTGATGATTTCCCTAGTGCTCAATCCTGGGCCTTGTGCAGACGTGCTGGTTTCATTGGTGATTCCTAGTCGGGCATCAATCTCCTGAAACATGCCTATAGTCAATGGCTCGGGCTTGCCGTTCTGGCGCGCGACGTAGTTGACCGAGTCGACGGCAGCTTGGTCCTTGCCTTTGGAGAGGAGGTAGCGGGGGGTTTCGGGAAGCTTAAAGATAAAGATGCGTATGACGGTAAAGGCGAGGGATAGAGCACCTAAGGAGATTAGGGTGTATCTCCTGTATCTGTTAGATGCTTGGTAGTAGCAGACAGAATTCGGAAGACATACCATCCCATATTCTCACTTCGATGACATGTTGCTGGTGTAGAATCGGTCGGACAGCTGTAGTTGGCGAGGAAGACCCAGGCCAAGAGCGACACAATCAGTTGGCCCAAGTTCCACCAGGCCGATAGAGCTGTGAGGAGGTATTGGTGACTAGTCGACCTCAGTTAGTCTCATCAACACCAACAGACTGAAGGAACACCTACCTCCCTGGAACAAACTCAAGAAAGATCATTGAATCTACAGGGACATTCCCTCCCGCTGCGGTGCCGATGACAGCCCACATGGCGCTAAAGGCCAGAAAGCTTTCAGTGCCTGCAGCACCACACAGAAAGATACCTGCAATCAGCAGGGTCGAGTTGAACGCAAGCTTCCGGCCGATCAAGTCGCTAGAAATACCCCAGAACGAAGCACCTAGGATCAAGCCCGTATAGTAGGCCACGGAGCTGTAGCTGACCTGGACGATGCCGGGGAACTCGAGTTCAATGGGCGGTTGGACGCTACTGATGCCTTGTGATGCAAACTATATTTCTCATGTTAGTGGAAGCGATCCCTGATAGTTCAATAGCGACACGAACGTTATCCACGATCCATCCAAACCCCGTTACGACGAAGAGCTTCCACTGAAATCTGCACTCATCAATATCCAATATTTACCTGATTACAATGACGAAGTGAGGAATGTACCTTCCCATCCCAATTTCCTCCATACACTTCCCCACCAACTCCGACTTCAGTCGATATGCTTCCGTAGTAGAGGGGCCATAGAACTGCTGCACATCCGGGTCATCCAGTATGACTCCCTTCTCCTCACCCACGATACTGTTGGCATATTGCTGAGCCGAGTCAGACTTCTTCTCCTGCTGTATGCTGTCCATTTTGATGAATTGGTGTGCATTGCTGTGAGCATGATGGCAAAAGACAGGCGATCAAATAAGATTTGACATAGGTAGGATTAGGGTTGCTGTACGGGTGCCTGGACCAGTTCCGGCTTGCTGACGCAGCTGATTCCGGCTAGTTACACGACATCAATAGTATCTTATCGATTGTCAAGGGTGGGGGATCGCTATCTGTGCCAGCTCGTGTGGCTGCCGTTTAGACCTTCACCTCCACTTCTGAGTCTGGGTATTGCTACTGGTTATCGAGGATTGGTGATCGATTAAGGCATTAACAGATGGTATTAACGACAAATTAGGTTTATTGTTTCTGTGAATTTGTGATACTACGAGGCATAATGTCATCAGTGTAGATGGTGGTGTGGTCAAAAAGATAATCATAATTCATTGGCATAGAAGCAAGCAAGCTATGGACAGATATACAATAGCCACTACATGGATTTCAGGCACCCACCGCCGCTGTAGCCGGCGCCGTCTCCATCTTCAGCTTCGCCTTCTCCTCCATCTCCTTCTTATACTGCTCCGCTCGTCCATAGCTTTCCTTGTACGAAGCCGTCACCATGTCCTCAACGGTGATAGGTGGATACTTTGGTGCCTCTCCCTCCGCGCGGCAGTTGGGCAGACACTCGCACAGGTAATCAGGGTTTCCACTGAAGAAGAACGGAATCGAGTATCGCTCGCGGCCAGACTTGTTGATGACGCGATGAATGTTCGATTTGTACCGGTCATTAGCCATACGCATGAACAGGTTTCCTAGATTGACTACGTAGGCACCAGGAATTGGTTGAACCTGCATCGCAGATCTGTTAGAGGACGCCCATTTGACAATATAACAGGGAAGTGGCGCTCACATCAAGCCACTGGCCAGTAGGTGCATCCAGAACCTGCAATCCATCCACCTCATCCTGCAGGAGCAGCGTAATGCATCCGAAATCGGTATGTGCGCCAATACCTCGGTTTAGCTTTTCATCTGCATCCTTAGGTTGCGCAGGGTAATGCAACATGCGCATAGTTGCGACCGCTCCGTCGGTGAGTGGGTCGAAGTAATCCTCATTTACATCCAGAGTCAAAGCCAGAAGAGACAGGACGTCCTTTGCCAAGTCAAATACCGCATTGTAGTATGCCATCGATGTGCGTTGGAAATCCTCCTTATCGGGCACGGTCGGTGGCCACTGGTTTGGACCGCTGTTGAGCTTCTTCTGAATGTAGTAGGGATGATCTTCGGGGATTTCCTGGCCGATGTACAAGCCCTCTTTGAGTTCGGGGCCGGTGCCTATTTCGAGCATCTGCGAGCGGAGGAGTTCGTAGCCGCGGTTGAAACTGTTGTTGTCTGAATTCCAAATCTTGGTTAGTGGCGAAAAGGATGGAGTATAAAATCAGGTGGTTACTCTTATCGATCTTGAGCTTCTCTTCTAGCGGGAGGTCGAAAAATCGCTCGGCACAGCGCATAACGCGACGCTGTAGGTCGAGTGGCACGCGATGCCCGGTGATCTGGAAGAAGCCATTGTAGAGGCAGCAGTTGCGGACGGCCTCAACCAGCTGGGCCTTGGCCTCGCTGTCGCCTCCGTAGAAGGGGGAAAAATCAAGAATTGGGGGAGCGCTGGGAGCCATTGTGTCGTTGCCTACTGTTGTTGCTTGTTGCTGATGCTATTCAGGTATCTCAGGTGAATATATCCAGCATCAGTAGGGTGTAATGATCCAAAATCTGAGCGCAATCTCGGACAGAAGACCGAGGGTCTTGCTCATTCCCTCCATTTTCGGGGTCTGGTATAGACAAGAGTGGGGGTAGGATGGGGCGACGATAAAGCTTGCAAAGGTCGGGTGATAAGAATGCGGAGAAGCTGAGAGATGGCGTAGATGGCCACTTCTTGCCACTTATCTCTCAGGTTCTGAAGCTGCAGCTCGATACCCCCAGATCGGCACGGGTAGCCTAATCGGGCAATGCCTGTGCCTCCTTGCAGGTTACACAGATAGCAGACAATGCCATTGGTATATAGAATGCAGCCAGCTGGCAGCTGATCGGATTTGAAGTGAGGGCTGTCCTGTCCGCATTTTATTCTCGTAATGGCTTTCACCGATACCGTTGAGAAGGAGGCCATTTCGGCCGAGCCTGCGATGAAGTCTGGGGTGAGTAGTATCTACATCGACCGTGATGCGGAACGGTCGTATGGTGAGTAGGATGAATTACTTCTTGCTACAGATACTAATTGTTGCAGTGCGAAAGGTGGACTTTTTCGTCCTGCCACTTCTATGTTTGGTGAGCATGGTGTCCGAGTCGGCGACCAGCTACTGACAGTGTAGATGTACTTTTTCGACTGCATGGACCGCGTATGTAGTATCTTGTTGTAGTTATCTGGTCACTGCTAATCGAATCAGAGTAACCTGGCAAACGCTAAAACTGATGGTCTAGACGAGGATATTCACCTGGTCGGGAATGACTACTCGTTGATGGTGCTGTTATTCTACATCCCCTTCGGGTTGTGCGACTTGCCATGGAATCTGCTGCTGAAGCGGTACTCCGGACGCTATGTGCTGTCTTTCAGTAGGTTGTACTATTGTATCATCTGAACCTGGCTAACTTGCCAGTGACCGTGGTCTGGGGAATCCTGGCTCTCTGCCAATGTGCTGTGAAAGACTTCGGTGGTATGATTGCTGTTCGAATGATCCTAGGGTAAGTCCCGCGCCCATCAACGAGAGCCTGATCTAACATCGGCAGAGCGTTTGAGGCAGGTTTCTTTGCGGGGGCGACATTCTATATGACATTGTTTTACACGCGCGGCGAGATGGGCTTCCGGCTGGCCATCATGCAGTCCTTTGCGGTGCTCGCATCCGCCTTCAGCGGACTCATCTCCTTCGGCGTCTTTCAGATCCACGATCCAGCTGTCAAAGGCTGGCAATGGCTGTTCATCATTGAAGGTTCAATGACCTTCCTCATGGGAATCATCTCGTTCTTCTGGTTGCCCGGCAATCCACGTACTGCATGGTTTCTCAACGAGCGTGAACGGGCTGCGGCAACGGCACGATTACTGCGCGACACCTCGGCCGAGGTGGACACCAACCTGGATTTGAAGGTTGCATTTGAGACATGGAAGGATTGGAAGTTCCCTATCTGGTGCATTATCACGTTCACTTATCCGGTGGCATATGCGACCGCGATGAATTTCTTCCCGTTGGTAGGACATGACCTCGCTGACTGCAAGAGAAGAAGCTAACAGAACAGATTGTCGAACGACTGGGATTTTCCACTGTCAAAACAAACCTCTGGACGGTCGCCCCAAACCTGGTAGGCGCGGTAGTGCTTCTCTGTGTGGCCAAGTCGTCGGATCACTTCCGCGAGCGAACATTCCACATTGTGTTCTCGCTGGTGATATCCCTTGTCGGGATGGTCATCCTGGCGACAATCGATGTCCTGAGTCACAAGGGAGTCGCATATTTCGCCTGTTTCCTGATGGCAGCCGGGTCGTATATCCCATCGTGTCTGGTGCATGCGTGGCATAACAACAACAATATGCACGAGAACTCGCGTGCAGCCAACACGGGTTTCTTCGTAGGGTTGGGCAATTTGGCGGGAATCTTAAGCGCGGCGACGTTTCGCACGCAATATGCTCCGAAGTAAGTAGCCTGACTACCTGGACCGTAGAGACGACTAACGGTGTAGGTATATTCCCACATTAGTAGCCACCTGCTGCTGCAACGGGGTGTGTATTGTGGTGGTGATCGCACTGGGGCTGTGGATGCGACGGGAGAACGGGCGACGCGATCGCCAACAAGGCCGAAGAGTGCGTCCGGGAGAAGTGGATACACGTCAATTGGCAGAGGGAGAAAGCAGCCCGGACTGGCGGTACTTTCTGTAAGGTTAAAAGATCTAGATAGGCCTATCTCGATTGGTGTGATTTGATTGATAGCTCCGGGATGGCATTCCTGAATTAATAATAATGGACTAGTTAGCGATAAGTGAAACCTTGTCCCCGCAGAAGGTCATTCGTCGATATGCATCTTCTGTCCGCATTCCTGCTTCTCCTCTTTTTCCCTTCAGCTTATCACCGGCTTCGGCCTTTCCGACCCGCAGATAAATGAGGTCTTATCCCCGGGATGTGAGTCCCTGCATGTATTCTTCTCCTGTATCGCTATATCATGACCCCCCATGAAGTCCCACGTGTGCCACTGGCCCAACTGCGGCAAGACCTTTACTCGTGCAGAGCATCTGCGTCGCCATGCCCTCAATCATGACCAGGCAAGACAAGGCTATACCTGTGAGCGATGCTCCGTGCATTTCCACCGCCCGGATCTACTGAGTAAGTGCTGCGCTACTGCAAGATATCTCGACTCCCTATCTGACCCGCCAGATCGCCATCTTATGCGCCATGCCAAACGTGACGAGGAAGCTGGAGGTCCTGGGCAAGGAGTGCTGGAGACGAGAAAACGCACCCGCCGTGCGGGAGATGGCTCCATCATTACTCGCCCTCCCAAGCGTCAGTCGCGCGCTCGTGCCAGTCACAGCGTGCCTCCATCGTCATCGGCCTCCTCATCGTCCTTTTCCGTCACCAGCGCCCAGGACTATGGTGCCCCTGTGTCGCCGCCGACGTCGGCAAGCGACCCATCGTCCATGTCGTTGGACGAGCCCGATCCGCTACTAGCTCCAATGATGCCCAGTGGGCCATTCGAGCCCTATGTCGAGCCCATCCCGGGGCAATTTGATGCGGCAGATGGCTCCTGGAGTCTAGGACTAGATGGGATAGGCGATTTCTTCAGCCTTGACACTGGTACGTTTCCCCTGGTAATCCTCATCAACATCCCAGCTGACCAAGTAGCCACCGACTTCAACATGCCCTTTGCGGCCACTCATAACTACAACTGGCTGTTCGACGTCGCCTCACTGGACGACGCCTTCCCTCCCTTCGACCTCCCACTAGGTCCAGACATGGTCACCTTCGCCGAGGATGCCCTTCCCATCGATGACCCGAAATCATATCTCGACCGCGACGGTTCCTCCGTCCTCCTCCAAGCAGCATCCTTCGTCGAACGCAGTGACCCGCTCGTCTTCTCCGCGCCCATACTCGACCCTCAACCAGACACCATCAACCTCGACTGGATGGATGCGCCTTCCCTCCTCCAAGCCAGCCCCCAACCCCATCTCCCCATCCTCACCGAAGAAGCCCGTCAAGGCATCCTCAACCTCATCGCCCAAGCCCCACCCCTGACCATCGATGGCCAACCCACCCCGCTGGACTCCCCTCTCCTCTCCCTCCCCTCCCTCCAATCCTACAGCGACCTCTTCTTCACCCGCTTCAACACAACCTACCCCCTCCTGCACCAACCCACCTTCTCCCCATCCACCACCACCCCGGTCCTCCTCGCCGCCATCCTCTCCATGGGCGCCACCTACAGCAGCCGCGAAGCGCACCAACTCGCCGTAGGCATCCACGACTCCCTGCGGAACCAACTCTTCTGCCACGCCGACTTCTCCCCGCAGCCCGACCTCTGGGTCCTGCAAGCCATGCTCCTAATCGACTGCTTCGGGAAGATGCGCGCGGGGCCGAAACAGCGCGAACGCGCCCAGCTCTTCCACTGCGTCTTGATCAAGCTCATCCGGCGAAGCGATTGCTGCGCTATTCGCCACACCCCCAACCCCACCACTGCCACTACCGATACGGATATCGAGACCCTCTGGCGTACCGCCATGCACGACGAGCAAAAAAAGCGCGTCGCCCTGCACTGCTTCATGTGGGATACGCAGCACGCAGTCCTCTTCTCCCAGTCCCTCTGCATGTCCGCATTTGAAATCAGATCCGCTCTGCCCTGTTCCCAGAACTTATGGGAAGCGTGCACGGCGGGTGACTGGGCGCATCATGCTTCGCTAGAGCCCCGGCCGCGGATGTTTCTCTCCGTGCTAAAGGGTTACATTACCCCATCTGCGATGGCTCGACCCCGTGATCTAAATACCCTTGCTAGAATTGTCGTCCTGCACGGACTTATGTCCGTTTCAGCGGATTTGAAGCGACGGGATCAGACGACATTACGCGCTGAGACGCCCGAGCGGGTGGGTGCGTGGACGCGACGCATGGGGAGGTCGTATGATCTATGGAAGGTGGATTTCGATGCAGATTGCCTCGCAATGAAGTTGAATTTCGGACAACATCCCGGGGAAGACGTGGGTGGGTTGAGACGAGGTCGAGCGGGAGGGGTGTTCATGGGGCTGAAGATGGCGGCGTGTGCGTTGTATCGTGCAGCGTGGTTGGCGCTGCATGTAGAGATACTCGACTTGCAGGTTGCTGCTGGGGCAGGGAGGATTCTGGGGAGGACAGTGACGGAGGGAGATCGGCAGAGGTCGCGACGGGGGTTGAGGAAGTGGTTACTTGGTGGTGGGGAGGGAGCGTTAGGGGCTGCGAGACAGGCGGCAAAACTGTTGGAGGAGGCGGTGCTGAGTTTGCATGATTGGGAGCAGACGGATGCGTTTCATTTCCCGTGGTGTTTGTATTTGGCGACGTTGACTTGTTGGGCGTTTCATGGTGGGGTGAATAGAGATGGTGACGGTGGTGGCAGTGATAGTGGGGAGAGGGTCACGACGGATCTCGCGAGTTTGATCGTGGCCATGACGACGTGTGGCAGTTTGGGAGATATGGCAGCGCTCGGGGGAAAG